GCCGCTTTTTCAAAAGGCAACTGTATTTTTTTTCTCTTGAAGACATTTCGCTTCTCATTCAAGAAGCCTCTTCAGTTTTTACTGAATGGTGGAGGATGAAAGGATTTATATTCCTTGCAGTCATCTGGTTGTTAGTACTCTCTCTGAGAGTCCTTGAGGCCACTTGGAGGTTTATCTGTGCCCCCAGGGTCACCTGAATAATGCAAATGGGCGTGGAACTGCTGAAAGGACTGTGCTGTAAACAGGAGATAGCTGGTGTCATATCCCTCCCCCTCTGTCCATTCCCCACCATTCAGTCAGAACTGAAGAAGCTTCTCGGATGAGAAGTGAAACGCTTGCAAGGACAAAGTCCATTTGCCTGTTGAAAAAAAGCACTTTCGGGACGACCACTTTATTAAGATATTTCTGAGTTTAAGGGACTATTGTCACCTATTTTTACTCCATGCTTCCTCCCCTGCATGGACAACATTAATAAGCCTGCCCTACGTATTCAGGGAAATGAATTTATTTTAATTTATTTTATTTAGTGCTGGGTCCATGCTGTGTTGAAACTTGCCTTCTTGCTCAAGGGACTTAGAGATAGTCCCCAGTTAATAAGCATTTGTTCAACAATCATTCGCAGTTACAATGGCACTGAAGGTATGGTCGTTGTGCCCAGACCCTGAAATTACGGCCATTGCTGTGACCCCCAGGGTCACTTTATCAAAATTCAGGCACATGGCAGCCCACCCACACTTGCAAAGGCATGGGTGCTTTAACTCCCCCTATCAACCTGTCTCTGCCCCTTCAGCCACCCCACATCATGACATTCCTCCAATGGCTCTGGACTAGGGGTCTTCAAACCTGGCCCTTTTACAACTTGTGAACTTCAACTCCCAGAATTCCTGAGCCAGCCATGCTGAGGGGAAAGGGAGAGGTTTCCAAGCCAAGCCATGCTGGCTGAGGAATTTTGGAAGTTGAAGTCTACGAGTCATAAAAGGGCCAAGTTTGAAGACCCTTGCTCTAGCCTGAAGTAGAGGACTGGGTCCTTTGCAGGGGGAGGGGGTGATAAAGAAGTCAAGTTGCTCCCCCACAATCTTGTCTGTTTTGCTGGTTTGTGACTGTAATAAAGATTGATTGGAAACCTTGACTTTCTGATCTGCTCCGTGCAGGCCCTTCATGGAACCTTATCCTTCAGGTGCTCCTTAAGCCTTCAGGTGAACAGACTTCAAACGAAAAGCTTACATTTTTTTCTCTACAGGCCCAGATTTTGTGTGCTGCATTTCCTGCTTAAAAAAAAGCAGCGACAAAATTGTTTACTTGGTGGCATGCAGACATGCCTTGACAATGCTCCAAATTATAAAATGGGGCATAGATAGATAGATAGATAGATAGATAGATAGATAGATAGATAGATAGATAGATAGATAGATAGATAGATAGATAGATAGATAGATATAGATAGATCATAGGAGAGAGAGAGAGAGAGAGAGAGAGATCATAGATCAGTGATTCTCAACCTTTCTAATGCCGTGACCCCATAATACAGTTCCCCATGTTGTGGTGACCCCCAAGTGGGTGTGGCCACCAATAAGAGGGAGTAGGACAGCTAGGGAAAAGGGAAAAAAATGGCGGACAGCATGGTTTGGCGACCCCCGTGAAATGGTCATTTGACCCCAAATGGGGTCCCGACCCACAGGTTGAGAACCACTGTCATAGATGTAGATAGATCATAGATGATAGATAGATAGATAGATAGATAGATAGATAGATAGATAGATAGATAGATAGATAGATAGATGTAGATAGATCATAGATAGATAGAGAGAGAGAATAGATAGATCATAGATGTAGATAGATCATAGATGATAGATAGATAGATAGATAGATAGATAGATAGATAGATAGATAGATAGATGTAGATAGATCATAGATAGAGAGAGAGAATAGATAGATCATAGATGTAGATAGATCATAGATGATAGATAGATGGAGAGAGAGAGAGAGAGAGAATAGATAGTTCATAGATGATATATAGATCATAGATAGATAGATAGATAGATAGATAGATAGATAGATAGATAGATAGATAGATGAGAGAGAGAGAGAGAGAGAGAGAGAGAGAGAGAGAGAGAGAGAGAGAGAGAGAGAAGTGGGTTCAGGTCATTTAATCCAGCATAAAGTTTGGAAAAACAGCCAAGCAAATCCTTCTGTGATATGAAGTGATGAACAAGGCTTGTTTTCTAAAATGCAGAAGTTATTCGGGTTTTTGGAACTGTCAGTGTGCACAAACAAAGTCCTATGGCGTTAGGGGAAATTAGACAAGGAATGCTTGCTAAATGATGGTTTCAGTGTTGGTTGTTCAATCAATCACAAGTGAATTTGCACAATTTCCTAAATCATAAACAAATTATACTCCAGCTGAGCCCTCTTTCAGAATCCAGCCATATACACACAAACACAGCTAAAGATAAGTCTAGCTTTACTCTGATTCTCACTTTTCTTCTATATATTCTTATGTTTTCCGATTTTTAAAACAAACAAACAAATCTGCACAAAAGCATTAATTGCTTTTGTGCATATTTCTCATAGTAGCTGCATTTTTGCTTGCATTTTACCTATTACACACATATAAAATGGTTTCCTTTTACAGTTTTTTTAAATGCACTTTTTGGGAGCCAGCAAATTGTAGATTTTGGCATGTAAATGTCTTGTGACTGGGATACGTATCTGAAAGTCTAAACCTGCATCAGAATGAGAAGGGAGTCTATTTCACACCCATTCCTACATGCACTTCTTCATTTAAATCCCAGTTCAGATATTTTCTCCCATAAAATCATGATTTTGGGATTAGGGGATTTATTTTTTATTTTTGGCATTTCGTCTTTATTTGCCTTCACTGCTTTTAACAATCGTCATTTTCTTTTGCATTCCTTTGCTCTACACTGATACAAAATACCAACTGAATTAACATTAAGCACACCTGCTGAAGTGAGACTTTTGTTCATGAAAGTCTACTCTGAAATAAAAACATGTTAATCTTTAATTCACTGGTACCCTTCCATAGTTAAGCCACTGAGCAGCTTATCTAGTTGCATGTAGAATAGGGATAATAGCAATAGCACTTGGACTTATAGACCGCTTCACAGTGCTTTAGAGCCCTCTCTAAGTCAGTGGTTCTCAACCTATGGGTCGCGACCCCATTTGGGATTGATCGACCATTTCACAGGGGTCGCCAAGCAAGGCTGTCCGCCATTTTTTCCCCTTTTCCAGTGAGTGCCTTACCTCCCTTGGGCTGGGCCAGCTGGTGACCCAGCCAGTGGTCGGCTTGCTCCGTCTCTGCCGCTTGCCAGCTACGCCTCGGCCGGCGCAGGGGGTGGCACCACGCATGCGCGGTGCTCCCGGGCAGGGAAAGTCCTCGACTTGCGATCGGTTGGGTAGTCCTCGACTTACGACCGGTTTAGTCCTCGACTTACGACCGGTTGGGGGTTGCAGCATTAAAAAGGTTGAGAACCACTGCTCTAAGTGGTTTACAAAGGTCAACCTATTTGCTCCCAACAATCTGGATCCTCATTTTACCGACTTCGGAAGGAAGGATGGATGGATGGAGTCAACCCTAAGCCGGTCAGGATCGAACTCCTGGCAGTCAGCAGAATTAGCCTGCAACACTGCATTCCAACCACTGCACCACCACGGCTCTTTTAATGGCTTATTGCCAAAATTAGAGAAATTCAATATGTCATATGGATTTCAGGGCAGCTGTGAAAATGTTCTGCCACAGAGTATTCTAATTCAAGCTAACTCAAACATTCTGGAAGTGATCTGTCCTCAAAACAAGCCTAACGTGGACCTCTTCCAAAACTGCAGAAGAGTCCATTTCGGGATCAAAACATTGTGTGACAGAACATTTTGGACACCCATAACCTTCAGGAATAATTGGTTGTTGTTGTTGTTGTTGTTGTTGTAATGCATAAAAGTACAGGTAGCTCTCGCGTTGCAGCAGTTCCTTTAGTGACCGTTCAAGTTACAATGGCTCGGAAAAAAAGTGAGATTAGGTCCATTTTTCACCCTTACGACCACTGCAGCATTCCGGTGGTCATGCGTTTAACCTTCAGATGCTTGGCAAACTGATTCATATTTATGACGGTCGCAATCTCCCAGGGTCAGGTGACCTTTTGAGACCTTCTAATAAGCAAAATCAGTGGGGAAGCCAGATTTACTTAATAACCATGTTACTAGCTTAACAACTGCACTGATTCACTTGCCAGAAAAGTCAGAAAATGGGGCAAAATTCTCGTTAACAAGTGTCTTGCTTAGCAGCAGAAATCTGGGACACGATTGGAGTCGTAAGTCGAAGATTACCTGCCTATTTGAGGGCAAGGGAGAGAGAGAGAAGAAATGAGCCATTTTCTAGATCTCTTTGTCCATTGTTTCTCTCTTCATCCATTTCTCAAACTTGAAAGAGTTTCCAGAGAGTACCAGCCACCCAATTTTCTGCTGGCGAGTTCAATGGAGCTTCCTCCCAAGTATGGGAGTAGATCAGCGTTTCTCCACCTTGACAACTTTGAGATGTTGTGGACTTCAATTCCCAGAATTCCCCCGCCAGCATGGCCAGAATTCTGGGAGTTGAAGTCCACAACATCTCAAAGTTGTCAAGGTTGAAAAACACCGGAGCGATAATTCCATCTTCATTGTACCATCTTCGTTGTATCATTTGCTTCCCTCTTTGGTTTTCAGTCTTTTTGTGTTAAAATAAATTAAGCAAGGAAATTGACCTCTCGTAATTTTCCAGGCACCCATTGCTGCTAGAGCAAGGGTCTTCAAACTTGGCCCTTTTAGGACTTGGGGACTTCAACTCCCAGAATCCCTCAGCCAGGCACACCTGGCTGAGGAATTCTGGGAGTTGAAGTCCACAAGTCATAAAAGGGCCAGGTTTGAAGACCCCTGTGCTAAGAGAAAACATTGGAAAGTTTTGACCATAATCGTATTTCTGTTTATGCCCCCTTCTGCCTTCTTCCCAGATATCCTCTCCTCCATCACATCATCAGGTTACTTAAATGATCACGATGCTGTTACCAAGGCGATTCAGGAGGCTCGGCAAATGAAAGAACAGCTCCGGCGAGAACAACAGGTGCTGGATGGAAAGGTTGCAGTTGCAAACAGTTTGGGTTTAAACAACTGCAGGACAGATAAGGTGAGTATCCAAGGCCCTTCTTGAGCTCCGGCTATGATGTTGTGCTCTTCAGTCCAAATTCAGCTTCGACTTTTAAAGTGTGGCAAAAAAATAATTCAAAGACTTTTCAGTAGCTCTAAGCTAAATATTATGGTAATATAACACAATCTTGGTCTTAGTGACCTGGAGACAGAACTAAGGATAACAACCGATGTCTTTCTCTCTGCGTTTCTGGGTCCATGCTGTTTTTTATGCAAGTTCTTCTTCTTTTTCCATGTCTAGATCAAACTTTAAACTGCTAGAATGAAGCCAGTTTCTTGGCTTTGTCATTGGCCAAAAATAAGTCATTATTGGTACATGTTTCACATACCAGCAAGCCCTTCCACAATTTGGAGCACTCACAACTTCCTGTGACAACTTCTACTGATTAATGATTCTCATTGTTAGCAAATTTCAACTTAGTTCTAAGTTGGATCGCTCCTTAATTAGTTTCCATCCATGTCTTCTTATTCTGCCTTCAGATTCTGTGGCGAATAGTTTGACCCCCTCTTCTTTATGATAGCTCCTCAAATAATGGAAGACTGCTATCATGTCACCCCTAGACTTTCTCTTCATTAGACTATAGACATACCCAGTCCATCATGTTTAATTAATATCATTTCTCCTGCGAGTCCCAGGTTTAGTTAAATTAATCTGGATATAGTATGTTGTATGAAAGCAATCATGAAGTAGCTAGGAACCAGGGTGGGGAAGGGGGTGCCTTGAGATAGAATAGTTTTCCTATCTGATCTACGCTGGATATTCAAGGAAGAAATCAAAGAGAAAACACCATTCATTTTTTTTCCTGTCCCTTTCTCCAAAATCTCCCACTGATCAGTTCATAGAAAGAATAACACGGAGAATTAACGACTGTGTTAATTAGAGAAACGCCCGTAGAAACAGTGCTTTGATGGTGCTGATATCATCAATAATATTAGGAATAATTGCAGTGGTAGCTGCAGTAGCAGCAGCAATTGTGGTAATAATGAGGCAAGATTACAACTTTACAAATTGCAGCTTAAGAGCTCTTAGACCCTAATATTTAGTTTGCCCGTCCAAGATTAATTGGACGTCTAGGAAAGTTAGAAAAGACCTGGTCTTATTGACTCACCTTCAATTAAACAATCAGGATTATAAACAATATGCAAGTTGCTTTAGTGCCACCACATTCCCTGGCAAGAACTATTGAGTAGCTGGTGACGGGAACCACAAGAGTCAGCGTTATTGGCAATAATCTGGAATACTGTCTATACACTGATAAGCAGGGGTTGTTATTTGAACACAGAGGCTTTGGGTCAAAGCAGAAATTTGGTTTATGCAACAGATAACATGCCTAGTTTATACAGTTTAATAGCAGCTGCCAGGGTGGTGGGGGATATCTAAAAAGGAAAATAAGTACCTTTTGTGATTCAGATCTATCCTGATTAATAGCAGTTGATCCTCCATCCCAATCTGAGCCAGAAACCCGAAGCTTACAGTCACAAAGCTTGTTGTAACTTCTTTGGGAATGATTTTCAACCCACTTACAGCAGGGAAGGAAACACGGTTGAGTTTGTCTCTTTAATAATAACTAAACCAGGGGTGTCCAACTTTGGCAACTGTAAGACCTGTGGACTTCAACTCCCAGAATTCCCCAGCCAACATGCTGGGGAACTGTCACAGATTTGGTCAAACAAGTTTGTTTAGGAATATTGCTGTCGTAAGACATGATGATAGTTCTTGGTGACTATGTCAAGTCTATCGGTGGCCAGTAAGTTGGCTGAGGAATTCTGGGAGTTGAAGTCCACAGGTCTTAATGTTGCCAAAGTTGGACACCCCTAATCTAAACCAAGCTCATGACCCATACACTCTGGATGAAAATGACTAGCCCATCTTTATCAAGTGGTCCAAGTAGGGCAGCACAATCCTTTGACTGAATCTCCAAAAAGTCCCAGGAAAGGACACACCTGCTTTAAGGTGCTGAAAACATAAAGAGTTCTGTTCACAGTTACATGCACTGTAAATCTTTTTTTGGAAAACAAATAAAAGGGGCATCCCAGCTCCATTTCCTAACTCACAGGGCCGAAATGTATGAATCAGCTTTGTGGCTCCGAAGTCATCTGAGAAAAAAGCAAAAGGGGCCACCTGAGTTTGCTGACACTATGCTTAGCAAATTATATTTAGGATGTTTTTATCTTCTGCATCCCTGCCTTTTTTTTTAAAAAAAAAAAACAAATCCACCTCAGATAATGAGGAATAAAACCTTATTAAGGTTCTCTTGGGTGCAGCAGGACTAATAGGAAGTCAATTTAATTCTTTAATCCATGCTCTTGATGCCTATTGCAGTGTGTATGTTTTGAATTGTAAGCCACCCAGCGTCATTAATTCAGACGGGCAGGTGTAGAAATTGAATAAATAAATAATTATAGTTGGAGGATCCTTGAAGTATTTGGGTTCAAATGGGAAAAAAAATGCTTTATTGGCTGGGTGGAAGGTGTACCCATCTTGGGGAGATGAACTGCAGCTGGAAACATTATTCAACGTTCTTTCTTAGATACATTTTTCCTGATGCTGATTCTTGTTGATGAAGCCTTGTGAAGCAGTTGCTTATGCATTGTCGCCGCCTCTCAAGCCAGGTGACTCAAAAAAAAAAACTGTCACAGATTTGGTCCAACAAGTTTGTTTATGGAAATTGCTGCCATAAGATGTGATGATAGCCATTAGCTCTCAGTGACTATGTTAAGTCTATCGGTGGCCAGTAGTCTTAAGAGGAAGATGAAACCTTCAGCTGTAGGTCGTCCTCACTTACAACAATTCATTTAGTGACCTTCAAAGTTACAACGGCACTGAAAAAAAGTGACTTACGGCTATTTTTCAAACTTACAAACAACCCTTGCAACATCCCCGTGGTCAGGTGAACAGAATTCAGATACTTGGCAATGGAGTCGTATTTACGATGGTTGCAGCGTCCCGGGATCATGTGATCCCCTTGCATGATCTTCTGACAAGCCAAGCCCAATGGGGAAGCCAGATTCACTTTAGAACTATGTTACTAACTTAAGAATTGCTGTGATTGACTTAACCACTGTGGCAAGGAAAGGGTGTAACAGGGGGCAAAATTCACTTGGCAACCATCTCGCTTAGCAGCAGAAATTTTGGGCTTGATTGTGGTGGTAAGTCGAGGACTACTGTACTGCAGCATAGCATTGGATTTTATTTGTCTGGAGCCACAGTGGCACAAAGTTCAGGTGTTGCTTGCAGACCTGCCTCTCTAGTAACTTTGGGAAGGAACTTCTGAGCTTAACGGATGCTTGATTGATCCAGCAGAGATCTTCCCAGGTTCTGATTTGCACTTCTAATGGCCAGCCTTATCATTCATAGAGAGATACACTAAAACACAAATCACAGTTTCTATGCTGGGGAACCCAGTGACTGGAGCAGGCATGCTAATTGTAATCAGAAGCAGGCCATATAATTACTCTCTCTTCTCTTCAATTTCAGAATCCATGTGGTGCCTAAGTTGCAATGACAGGCTTCTTCCTAGCTCACCTAATTTCCAATCCCCAGTTTACTTGCCAGCCTCATCAAGCAATCTAGGGCTAGTCATAATTTCTGGCCTAACCTACCCCGTGTGTGATAGTGACACCCCAAAGGGAAAGGCATGTGAGTGAGATAAATCAAACGTGGAAGACGACTTTAATAAATGCTCTGAACATTTTAATCCTATAGTGGAGAATATTTATAGCTCAGGATTGAACTGTGGGGTCCTTTATGCTCTCTGAGCTTGAATGTTTTCTTGCAGACATTTCATTACCCAACAAGGTAATGTCATCAATGCAAGAATGGAGTAGGATTTACTCTCTGTTTATATGCAAGTGGCTTGCCCTGTCCGTATTGGTAGCAGTCTTCCTGGTTCCTTGTTTAGGCTGTTCTTTAGTGAGTAAGTATTTTCTCGATTGGGGTATGGTTTACTACCTGGCGTTTATCCTACCTGGGTCTTTTCGGGCATTCTCCTGCATTAACAAGAAAAATCTCATTGAAGATTTAGATCTGCCCCAATTTCTATAGAAATTGGGCATTTGGTTTTTCATGTTGGCCAACTGATGCCAAGCCCATGGGTTTAAATCAGGGGTAGGCAACCTCGGCTCTTTTATGACTTATGGACTTCAACTCCCAAAATTCCCGAGTCAGCATGGCTCAGCATGGCAACCTCTCCCTTTCCCCTCAGCATGGCTGGCTCAGGAATTCTGGGAGTTGAAGTCCACGAGTCACAAAAGGGCCAAGGTTGCCTACCCCTGCCCTAGGCTGCTTTATGACTCGTGGACTTCAACTCCCAGAATTCCTGAGCCAGCCATGCTGAGGGGAAAGGGAGAGGTTTCCAAGCTGAGCCAGTCTGGCTCAGGAATTCTGGGAGTTGAAGTCCACGAGTCATAAAAGAGCCAAGGTTCCCCACCCCTGCCCTATATCAGGGCTCCTCAATCTTGACTAATTTAAGACTCGTGGACTTCAACTCCCAGAATTCCTGAGCCAGCCTGGCTCAGCTTGGAAACCTCTCCCTTTCCCCTCAGCATGGCTGGCTCAGGAATTCTGGGAGTTGAAGTCCACAAGTCATAAAAGAGCCAAAGTTACCTATCTCTGGCCTAGGCCTAGGCCGCTTTATGACTCGTGGACTTCAACTCCCAGAATTCCTGAGCCAGCATGGCTCAGCTTGGAAACTCTCCCATTCCCCTCAGCATGGCTGACTCAGGAATTCTGGGAGTTGAAGTCCATGAGTCATAAAAGAGCCGAGGTTGCCTACCCCTGGTTTAAATGAAAGTTGGTTTAAAATTATCAATTTAACTAAATAAAATAATACATTATCTAAGCTGGGGAAGATACGGTCCTTCATTACAGGTAGTCCTCATCTTACGACAATTCATTTAGTGAACGTTTGAAGTTACAACGGCACAGAAAAAAGTGACTTATGATCATGGTTCACACTTATGACCATCGCAGCATCCCCA